TTATTTAAAGGATGTTGATATATGAGTATGTGAATTAATCATTAATTTTCCCTTCAATTAACTGTACGAGGTTAAGCCAACATGTTCCCGAAGTTGGCTTCGGCACACGTGCAATGAACATAAGAGAAGTATACGTCGCTGCAACTTGCAATGAGTTGTGATTCCATGGAGTAATCCACGAACACCCAAACACACGTTGTCCACTAGCACGTGATGTGAGCAAAAGACAAGTGATTGATGTCATGATACGAGGCCCTCAATCTAAGGATATCTCTTACACGATTTAATGTCTTAGGTTATTTTTGGACAGATATCTCAAAGATTGACAAAAATGGTTTTATTTTTTGGAGTATTGTAATTGTATACTGTCGATTTGGGTAAACTTTATTTATATTTTTTGTATTTTTAATTTTTTGTATGATATTTCATAATTTTTTTAATAGGTTGGTTAATTTATTGTCTTTGGTTATGTGAATTTTTTTTTTTCAAATTAACATATCATAGGTAACTTTTATTTTTATAACGAGTTAAATTGATAATTTTATCTAATAAAATTATTAAAATATTTTTAAATAAAAATTAGTCAATTTATTCTCACTTAAAAGGTATTTTTATGAATTTATTGGATAAAAAATAACACCTAATTCATTGTGAGATTATAATTCATAAATATTTATTGAGAAAAAAATTATTTAGAAGATATTAATTAAAAAAATCATAAAATATCAAATAAGATAAATTAAATACGTGATACGTGGAGGAAAGGTGTACTCATATTTTGAACTTAATTTGTCTAAGATAATATATTGCATTGTTAACACTCACACACATATGTATATATTGCTTAATTGAACATTTTATTCTTCAATATATGGTTTATTGGACACCTCCAAAGGGTTCAAATCAAATGCAGAAAGTATGATTAATTTCCTTGCAACTTGGTCTTGGGGATCAGGATTTGTTCTTATCTATTCGCAGCCAATGCCCTGTCACTTCACTGAAGAGAACGCTAGAAATGGAACTAAATATGTGTTAATTAACAAGGGTTCAATTACTTCATTTGATACGAACATTAAATTAGTTAAGAGAATTTGGAGAATGCTACACTTAAGTTAATCTTGGCTTCCAAATTCAGATAGATTTCACTGCCCAATACCCCTTTTTTGTGGATACCCGGTGACCCAAAGAAGATGATGATGAATAAAAGCTTTAGCAAACTGATCAAAACTCAGTTTCCCAAGAATAACATTGCTCCTTAATTTGCAGTGTCTTGTTATGATCAACCCTGATTATGCTGATTGCTAGAATTTTCTCTTGAAAGGAACCAGAGAGAATAAATGTTTATTTTTTCTTGAAAAGGGACTCCCTCAAGGCACATTATTCTGTTAAAAATGCATCTAAATAGCAATATTATGACAGTTTTTATGCTGCATATGTGCATTTTAGCTTGGTGTTCCTGATGATGATCACATTCCTTCTGATTTTCTCTGCTGAAAGTGTCGAACACAAATTAATTCCATCAGCATAAATGTTTGTAGAAACCATTTTCACATGGAATAAATCGATTATGAGATTCTTTAATAGTTGAGGAACAAACATGTTGTGTGACATTGAAGACTCTCCATCGACGTTTTATACCATCAAAAGACAGAATAAACATCCCAACATTCAACATAGGCAATAGTGCTATTATGATCATGACAAGATCCTACCACTGTGGAGACATTACTTCCAGAACACACAAGGACACATTGTTGTGGTTGATAGCAATGTTCGCGATCGTGTGGTTGAAGCTAGAGATGAGTTGCACAGGATGTTGAATGATGGATGAGTTGAGGGTTGTTGTGCTGCTACCTCCTTCGCAAGGAGGGAAGTATGTTGGATTTGGATCGAGTCCTATCCCTACCCAGAGGAATAATAATTCTCAGGGGGATGTTCTCTCTGTTGTGTCTCAGGTGAGAAG